CAATAAGAGAAGTCACCCACAAGTAACCCATACAGATGGTGACAAAACTTTACATTTTGAAACAAGACATAATTTCAGCTCCTGAGCCATCGGACACGCAGCTGATGTCCTTCACCAAAGAACTTTCAACTCTAATTGCAATAGTAATAACTGCAATAATAATAATATTGATAATGACTATGATGATAATAATCTTAGCAGGAGGAAAGTGGTAGTAGTAGTAACTGTTACTATAGTAGTAATAACATTAATGATACTACTACTTCTACTACAACTACTAATAAAAACATTAGTAATAATAATCTGGAGGAAAGTGGCAGGAGCAGCTGCTGCTGTAGTAATAACATTAATAATAATAATATGAATAATGATAATAATAATAATAACAATAATAATAATGACAACAATAATAAAAGTAATAGCAATATTATCGATAATATCAAGGAATTATACTAATGATGATAATAACAATGGTGGCAGTAATCGTAATACAAATAATAACAATGATCATATCAATAATAATAATAATGATAATAATAATAATAATAATAATAATAATAATAATAATAAAACAAAGAATACTGGTGATAATTATGAAAACAATCATTATAACAGTCACAATAATAATAATAACAACAGCAATAATTTTTATAATAATTATATTAATAACAACAACAACGACAACAAAAATAACATTAATAATAATGATAATATTGAAAAGGGTAATAACAGTAATACTACTACTACTACTACTACTACTACTACTAATAATAATAATAATAAAATAACAATAATAACAATAATAGTAAGGATAATAGTGGTGATGACGATGATGAGGATGATGATGACGATGATGGTAATAATAATAATAACAGCAACAATAATGGTAATTATAATGATGATGATCATCATAATAATGATAACAATAACAATATTAATAATAATAATCATAATGATAATAATAATAATAATAATAATAGTGGTAAAGATAATGATAATAACAGTGATAATAATAATAATAATAATAACAATAATAATATTGACAATAATAACAATATTGATAATAATCAAAATAATGATGAGAATGTAATAATAATGATAATAATAAAACTAATAAAAACAATAAAAACAAAAAACAACAACAATGATAATAGTAATGATAATAATAATACTAGTAATAATAATAATAACAATAATAATAATAATAATAATAATAATAATATCAGTAATAATATGAACAGCAACAATATGTTGACAATACTGCTACTGTTCCTACTACAAAAAAACTACTATTACTACTACTACTACTACCATTACTACTGATAATAATGAAAATGAAATAACAATAATGATACTAATAATCAAACCGATTTTATAATGAGGATACAAGCAACGAAAAGAATAAAAAAATGAATCAATGCTAAACTATAACAAGAAGCTAATAAATAAAGAAGTGCAAGACTATCGAATTCCATACAAGAAAAACGCACCGAGGACCCGGCGCGACACAGAGGCATCTCACGTGAATTAGTTGTAATTGTGTGTGTGTGTGCGTATATTATATATATATATATATATATATATATATTATATATATATATATATATATATATATATATATATATATATGTATATATATATATATATATAATAATTATATATATATATATATATAAATATATACATAATATATATTTATACATGCTGCCTCTTCTGTTTAACCATCCCACTATTTGTCTATGATGTATATAACTATGAACCGCACACACACACTTTACACACAAATAAATATATATAAATATATATATATATATATATATATATTATATATATATATGTATATACTATATGAATATATATGTGTCTGTGTATATATTATATATGAATATATATATAAATATATAATATATATACTATATATATAATATATAATATAATATAGTATATAATATATTACAACCATTCTCACACAAAACCGCGGTACATCCTATCATCTATCCTGTTTAATATAATATGAGTATATATTGATATATATATACATCAATATATATTATTTAATATATATACATATATATGTATATATATAATATACAATTTATATTATATAGATTATAAAATATTTAAATAGCATATACAACATTACAATACATATTGTTTACTATAATAATTATACTAATATATAATAATATATTACTATATATATATAATGTAAACACTATTATATATACTATATTACTATATATATATAATAAACATATACTCATATATTATAATATATATACAATTATATATATAATTATATATAAATATATAAATATATAATAATTATACAATATATAATATATACTACTTATATATTGATAATATATATATATTACAATATAAATACCTGCCAATAAGAGACTTATATCATATCATTACATACATATGACATTTCAATTACATACATATAATTATAAACTAATAATATAGTATGAATTATATATTATAATAATATATATATATATATAAATAGAATATATAAAAATGAGCTACATAAGGAATATGCCTATACATACATACGAGTAGCATGCAGATATAACAAATAATATATATATATATATACTATATATAAAATATCATATATATTATCATAATAAATATATAGATAGATAGATAGATACGAGTAGATAATAGATACTCGTTTGGATTGAGAGAAAGAGAGGAGAAAATTGGAACTGAAGAAATTGGAAAAAAAAAAAGGGGGGGGCCCAGAAAACAATTTTATTATGGGCGGGGGAACCCAAAACAACATCAACCAAAATAAAATGCACACACAACACAGCACACAACACAAATTAATATGTATAACATAAGTATACATACATACGTAACAAAACATATAATAAGATTATAATATAATATATAGTATAATATAAATATAATATTAATATATATATACTATATAAAATATAATAATATATATACAATATATAATATATATGATATATATATACAATATACATATATACATCATAATATACATGTAATATATATATAATATATAAGTAATAATATATATATATATATATACATATATACATAACATATATGATATACATATATATATATATATATATATATATATATATATATACATATATATACATTACATTATATATATAATATATATATAATATATTGTATATATATATATATATATAATATATATAATATATATAATATATATATATATATAATATATATATATATAGTGTAGGTGTGTGTGTGTGTGTGTGTGTGTGTGTGTACATATATATATAAATAAATATATGTACATATATAGGTATGTCTGTGAGTGTGTATGTGTGGGTTCATAGTTATATACATCATAGACAAATAGAGAAATGGTTGGATAGAAGAGCCACCATCATAATGGTTGACATCAATGGCTTCTTTAAGAAACGGTGGGATGTCTGTGTCCATTCAACACAAGCAGAACCCTTAGTTGTCTTTCACGAAATCCACACTTACTTCAAGAGCTCTTCAACATCCTTTTTAAGGGGCATATCCTGGGGTTTGTGCTGCGAGCGCGGGTTACATCCATGTATGTTGTGGATAACGGGGCCAATGTGAACCGCAGAGCCGCCGGTTATGTTGTAAATCTGTGGAGAAATGAGACTGATTAATGATGTGAATGTGTTTTTTCCGTAATTTCCGTGTTTGTTTAGGTTTGACGAAGGAGGTTGTATTTCACTTTATTTGTTTTGTTATTTTTTTTTTTTTACACACACACCAAACACATAATATAAAATAAATAGATATATATGTATAATACATATTATGTATTTATACACATATACATATATCTATGTATGTATGTATGTATATATTCATGTATGTACGTGTGTATGTATGTATGTATGTATACATACAACATACATATATATATGTAATAATATATATTATAATATATAAATATATATAAAAAATATATAATGATATTATGCATGATATTCATGTATGTATGTATGTATATGTATGTATGTATGTATGTGTGTATCTATCTATACAGTTAGTCTGCTAAAACTTGCACCCGCGGAGAGAGCACGTTCGAGACACCCCCCCCACCCCCCCCCCCCCCCGGCCGGTGACGCAGCGTTCCGGGGCGGGCACTGAGCGGCGCCGTCGAAAGTGCGGGCGGGCGTTGCGACACTTCCACGATCAGACAAGTGCCATTTGTCACCGGGTTTGTCACCTGCAAACCTCGCACGTGCGGAACAGGTGTCATGAGAGGTGGGGGTTCTCTCGGTGCCAGGTGTGTTGTGTTTCTTGATCGCTGTCTGTTTGTAGTGGTGCGTCAAGGGGAGTCAACAGTACACCTGGTTGCAAATGCACATATAAACATACACAGAAATCCCCCTAACACACACACACACACGCACTCACATACACAAACACACACACACGCACACACACACACACAAACAATACAACACAAACAAACACAATTCTCTCTCACACACACACACAGAAACGCAAACACCGACACACTCACACATACCCACACACGCACACAAACACACAAGCAAACACACACACACACAAATACACACACACAAAACAAACACAACAAAACACACACAACGTTCCACTCACCTGGCGCTGAGGCCGAGATGGGTTCCCTTGTTGAAAATCACTGGACACGGACCCAAGTGGAGCCGAATCTGTCTTAATATTATCCATCCTGGGGACACCTCGGCTGGGGAGAGAGACAGGATAAGCATCATGAATGGTAGTGGGATTTGGAGTTTTTATGTTATATGAATATTATATATATTATATATATTATATGAATGGTAGTTGGGATTTGAACTACCAGGATTTGAACTACCAGGATTTGAACTATCAGGATTTGAACTATCAGGATTTGAATTACCAGGATTTGAAACTATCAGGATTTGAACTACCAGGATTTGAACTACCAGGGTTTGAACTACCAGGATTTGAACTACTAGGATTTGAACTACCAGGATTTGAACTACAGGATTTGAACTATTTTGAAACGACCAGGATTTGTACTATCAGGATTTGAATTACCAGGATTTTAACTATCAGGATTTGAACTATCAGGATTTGAACTAGTTTGAACGACCAGGATTTGAACTATCAGGATTTGAATTACCAGGATTTGAACAATCAGGATTTGAACTACCAGGGTTTGAACTTTGAGAACTACAGGATTTGAACTATCAGGATTTGAACTACCAGGATTTGAGAACGGGGACTACCAGGATTTGAACGATCAGGGATTTGAACTACAGGATTTGAGACTACCGAATTTGAACTACCAGGATTTGAACTATCAGGATTGAACTACCAGGTTTGATACCAGGATTTGAACTACAGGATTTGAACTACAGGATTTGAATACCAAGGATTTGAACTACCAGGATGAACTACCAGGAATTTGAAACTATTTGAACTACCAGGATTTGAACTACTAGGATTTGAACTACCAGGATTTGAACTACCAGGATTTGAACTACCAGGATTTGAACTACCAGGATTTGAACTTTGAACTAGGGATTGAACTACTTTGAACCAGGATTGTGAAACCAGGAACTATCTATCAGGATTTGAACGACCAGGAGGATTTGAAAACTACCAGGGTTTTGAACTACCAGGATTTGAACTATCAGGATTTGAACTACCTATCAGGATTTGAACTACCAGGATTTGAACTACCAGGATTTGAACTATCAGGATTTGAATTACCAGGATTTGAACTACCAGGATTTGAACTATCAGGATTTGAACTATCAGGATTTGAACTACCAGGATTTGAACTATCAGGATTTGAAGTACCAGGATTTTGGGTTTGAACTACCAGGATTTGAAGGATTTGAACTACCAGGATTTGAACTATCAGGATTTGAACTACCAGGATTTGAACTACCAGGATTTGAACTATCAGGATTTGAACTACCAGGATTTGAACTATTTGAACACCAGATTTGAACTTCTATCAGGATTGAACTTTTGAACTACCAGGATTTGAACTAGATTTGAACTACCAGGATTTGAACTAACAGGATTTGAACTACCAGGATTTGAACTACCAGGATTTGAACGACCAGGATTTTGAACTATCAGGATTTGAACTATCAGGATTTGAACTATCAGAATTTGAACTACCAGGATTTGAACGACCAGGGTTTGAACTACCAGGATTTGAAACGACCAGGGTTTGAACTATCAGGATTTGAACTACCAGGATTTGAACTACCAGGATTTGAAACTATCAGGATTAGAACAGGATTTGAACTAGGATTTGAACTAACAGGATTCTATAGGATTTGAACTACCAGGATTTGAACTACCAGGATTTGAACTACCAGGATTTGAACTACCAGGATTTGAACTACTAGGATTTGAACTACCAGGATTTTGAACTATCAGGATTTGAACTATCAGGATTTGAACTACCAGGATTTGAACTACCACTACCAGGATTTGAACTGGATTTGAACTACCAGGATTTGGTTTGAACTATCAGGATTTGAACTATCAGGATTGAACAGAATTTGAACTACCAGGATTTGAACGACCAGGGTTTGAACTACCAGGATTTGAACGACCAGGGTTTTGAACTATCAGGATTTTGAACTACCAGGATTTGAACTACCAGGATTTAAACTATCAGGATTAGAACTATCAGGATTTGAACTACCAGGATTTGAACAGGATTTGAACTACCAGGATTTGAACTACCAGGATTTGAACTATCAGGATTTGAACTACAGGATTTGAACTACCAGGATTTGAACTACAGGATTGAACTATCAGGATTTGAACTACCAGGATTTGAACTATCAGGATTTGAACTACCAGGATTTGAACTACCAGGATTTTGAACTATCAGGATTTGAACTATCAGGATTTGAACTACCAGGATTTGAACTACCAGGATTTGAAACTGATTTGAACTACAGGGATTTGAACTATTTTGAACTATCAGGATTTGAACTATCAGGATTTGAATTACCAGGATTTGAACTATCAGGATTTGAACTATCAGGATTTGAACTATCAGGATTTGAATTACCAGGATTTGAAACAGGATTTGATTACCAGGATTTGAACTATCAGGATTTTGAACTACCAGGATTTGAACTAGGATTTGAACTATCAGGATTTGAATTACTTTTATCAGGATTTCTACAGGATTTGAACTATCAGGATTTGAACTATCAGGATTTCAACTACCAGGATTTGAACTACCAGGATTTGAACTACCAGGATTTGAACTACCAGGATTTGTACTACCAATAAATAAGAGTAAATATTGTAGTAATGGTTGGATGGTAGAAAGTAATATGGAGGAACGGTAAATGTTTTTTGTAGTATTAATAAATAAGTGTATATACTATGATATGAGTCAATGGTAAAAAAAATATGTTTTGTCAAAGAGAGGAAGTACAATAATAAGTGTGAATGGTAACAGGCAATATGAATTAA